TTTTTTTTATTTAAATGATACCATTAATAACTTTTTATTTATAGCATGTAACAATTTTCAAATTATGCTTATGTTCTTAACAGCACTTATTTTTCATATTAACATTATGTATTTTACAGTTTCTGGTATTACTTCCTAATTGATATTATTTGAACACAATAAATTACGAAAATCATGGAGATATTTTATATAATATAATTATTATTTTAATGCATATAATTTTTTTATAAAAAATACTTATTTTCTTTCTTATTTTATTTTTTTTTTTTGCTTTAAGAGTTAAAACATAAGCGAATATATTAGTTCTTTCAACATACCTTAGTAATTTTAGGAACAGTTCTTATATATTTTTTACTGATAGTCTTCTATATTATATGCTATTTTTAACCTGTCATAGACAGAATTGTTGCGTTCCCTTTCAAAGGAAATCATCATGTTCAATATGTTTTTTGTCGAACATGTTTTGACTTTCCTTATCCATAATTGTAAAACTGAATAATAATTTGTATACTAAAAAAAAAGTAGCAATATCATATTATTATGTATTTGGAATTAAATTGATACAAATTTGTTAGAATAATGTTTCAAGTAAACGTTCATTTTATATACGTTTATAAAATTAAACTTATTCTTAACCTTATACAAAATGAATAAAATTGAGATTATTAAAAATAATGTTATAAACAATCCACTGATTACTTCTGAATCAACTCCTATAGCTGACATTTGTTTTGAAGATGTTCTTTCTAATACCATATTTCCTGGTCCTTCATATAAAATATTTTCTAATATGTCACTTGTCGGAGTTTCTGACAGTGTTGGTTTCATTATGGATTCTTCTTTTTTTTTCGGAGCGAATGGAGGTAACCATGCATTACTTCTCGGGCAATATTTCTTATAGTCATTAAAAACAGTTTCAAATGCATCATAAAAATGTTTGTCTTCCATATATTTACTTGATGTTAATTCTTTTATATATTTATCATATTTTATATCTTCCCAGCATGTATCACCTAAAATTAATTTATAAGTGTAGTCAGATATTAAATCCAGTTTGTTAAATATTGGAAATGCTTCATCATCAAGATCCGCGATATATTGACTACATGTATAAGTACCATTTAAAAAAAGTTCATTTCGTAGTATATTTATCAATGTACCATAACATGATCTTATCTCACCACACTCAATACTTTTCTGCTTTAATTCTAATTTTAGTTTGTAAAAGAAATACCTGCAACTATGTTTTTTGTGATTGTCGTCACTTGATCGATTTATAAAATTTAAAAAGCGACCAAGATTTATGCAGTTTACATTAAAATTATAATTATTTTTTACGACGTTACAAAAATTTTTGCACGCATGGGACAAACGATTATCTAATGGATCTCCTAATTTCTCTCTACTTATAATATAAAATTCATGGCTAAGTCTGGGAAACATTCCACTAAAATCAGCCTAGTAAAAAACGCCATGAGTTATATAAAATTTTATAATAATAATATAAATAATATATTTTTTTTTTTATCCTTCATGAATAACTCTATTTTAAAATAATGCAAATAAATTATAATCCTTATTAAGAACAAAAATATACCTCCTTAACAACTTCAGTAGAATAATCCATTATATTAATATATGTTAACTAATAAATAAATTGAATTTATTTCTATTATAATACATTTTTATACTTTAAAAATATTGTAATATATATGATATTGATATTACATGCAAAAAATTTTAATACATATAATTTATACAATATTTTGAATACATTTTCATCATATTTTTTATATGATAATATATTGTACCATTACCACTTTATGATAATAGAGACATAATTTTATATATCTTCATATTAGAAAAAATATATATTTAATATTATAATCATGAAAAAATTATAATTAGTAAATTTTCTTTTGTAATATTATTCTATATATAATATTATTTAATAAAATATTTATATTCTATAAACGCATATACAAAAAATATAAATAAATAATTAATATTTTTATAGTAACATATTTATATGTATGCTTTAATTACATTTAAAACATGGATATAAAAGGATACAGTTAAATAATATATATTCACAGATTTTAGTGTTCATATATATATTTAATGATATATAATTATTATTCTGATATCAGATTTATTGCTTAGGATTTAGCATATATTCAACAGAATTATATAAATAATAGTATACGTATAATCATATTATTTATTTTAATTATGCGAATATTATTTAAATTAAATAATGAGTATGCACGAATGATTTATTATTCTGTATTGTTTTTTCATATTTTTCGAAGAAATATAGTATTACAAATTAAATATATACATTCTTTTATGTATATATAAATATATTGAATTTATATAATATATTACGAAGATATTAAATTAACATTAAATTAATGTTATTATTATGTGTGAGGTAAAAAATAAAATTATCAATTTTTATACTATGCGTATGTACATTTCATAATTTTAGATTGTGTTAAAATTAGTATGTCAAATAAAAATATAAAAAATATATCTTAACTACTATGATGTAATAATTTTATGGTATAATAAATTTATTTATTTATTTTTTTTTTTTTTACCTAATATACATATAAGATTTAATACAAGTAAATATTTTTCCTAGTATAATAAATAAAGATGTAAATTTTTTTTTTTACTTTTATCATATATTTTTGCTTCAAGAAACTTAGTTTATTCCTTTTAGAGTATATATATTTATTATTAACAGATTAATATGTATGTGTATTACATTTCCTGTATTATATTTTTTATTAATGAAGACAATGAGAATTAAAATAATTTTTACATTCTTATAGATAAATATGTGATATGAATTATTAAATATTTTCTTAGTGAAATGATGTTTAGATATATCATTTTTGTATTCCTATAAAATATATCCTTATAACTTATAAAATTAAAGATGTTGTATAAAGAAACACATGTGTGTATAGTCCATTATAATAAATGAGAATTTATATGAAAAGCAAAATCATAAAGCTAAATAATTTTTTTTTTATATATAATCAATATAGGCATATGCGTTCTATTTTTCTATTATTCATAGGATAATTTAAGTATGTACTATTTTGTAAGAGTATGTTATCATGTCGTGTGTAACTAATTAAATGACTAATAAACAAATTACATTCTTAGCTTAAATATATTTTCTAACAAGTACAGTTTCCAAATTCAATAAATATTTTATATTAAATTAAAAAAAAGCCTTATCTATATTTACATTTTACAGCATGTATATATAAATATTTAAAATTTCTTTTTAATGTTCTTAATCATGCTTACAATTATTAAACACCTTAACACATATATAATGTTGTTCATATATATAATGTGCATGTTTAAATAAATATTTACTTTAATTTTTAATGATTCTAGTTAATTTTATAATATTAATGACTATAAAATAATATCATAATATTTTTTTGGAGATGTGAATTTCGTAAAAACAAAATGTTAGATAAATAAATTATTAAAAATATAAACTATTATCTATATTTAATACAGTGTACTCAGAATATTTTTTGAGTAAAGCGATAATATAAATATTATAATATAATATTTTTATGATGATATAAAACAAATTCTATTGATGCCATATTTTATCAAACAGTATATTTGCATTTTGTAATTTATATAATAAATTATATGCCTTATCTACTGTATGCTGAAATGAAAAAATTATTCTTCCAAAAATATTTTTATTAATACATTAAATAAAATAATACGATAAATTATAATTGGATAAAATTGATAATACCTTTATTACAAGTTCATATATGTCATGGTATTATAAATAAAATGAAGAGCCTATATAACATAAGAATAAAAGTCTATAAAAATATGATTCGTATTACAAGAAAAAATTGAAATATGTACATTTTTACGATTAAAACTCATTAATTGTTCATTGATTTAATATTATATATATCAATTTATTTAACTATAAATGGCTTTTTAATAACACACAAACAACATTGAATTTATTAATGTATTCATGAAGCTAACATATAAAAATATATAAGATGAAGATTATACAAATATACTTAAATGTAATAAAAAAAATATATAATATCTAATCATTTAGAATTTCTTCAAACATAGAATGAATTTTTTTATGATTAATGTTTGTATTATTATATACCATAATAAAATAATAAAAATAAGTAAATCACATATACTATTATATAATTTAAAAATATATATTCTAAAATGAATTATATGTATTTTAGTACATATTTGTCAGATTCTTCAATTATATGTATCTATTAAAATATTTATATATTTATGCATATATATAAAAAAAAAAAAAATAAATAATTTTGAATAAAATAAATTTAATAATTGTTACACTGCAAAATACATAATGCTATATTCTACTTAATATACTATATTAAAAACATAGATATATTAGTTTTTGTATAATATGCTAACATAATGCAGATATGCACGAATTTTATACTATTAATCATATAATACAAATTATATACCGTGTAATCCTTTAATGTGAACTCTGTTCTCTAAACACTAAAGAATAACCCCATAAAACTCCCGTTTCCCTTAATTATTCCTAAGATACACAATAATAATGAGTATATTTAAGTAATTATTTTTACTTACTAAAAATATAATATTGTTTATTATATATTAACATATAAATTTACCCTATTATATATATTAATATATGATATGAAGTGTTTAAAAATTAACATAATATAATTTACAGTTTATGGATAATACAGTTAATATTATATTTTAGTAAATATACTATTTATTGTGAAGAAGTAATACCTTATATTTCTCATGTCTAAGTGTACTCACACCCCTCATTTGATGAAGTATTCTTGTCTAAAATTATCTTATAAATATGATGAGAAGTAAAGTTTTACATCATTCAAACCTGCAATATTTATATGTGAACAAAAATAAAATAGTATTAATTAACCTTACAAATTTATTTCCATTATATTAGTTTCTACTACTTAATTTATGATATAATGAAGTAAAGTAACTTATTTATATTTTATAGGGGAAAATAATAAGTAAAGATAAAAATAAATGTCAATAAAAGTAAATCACTTTCATATATGATTTATTATTTAATTCTACATAATTTAATTTTTTTTCCTTCTTATTGCATATGTAAATTTTCTTAGAATATTGCGATTAACTAATATATTATTTTATTAATTATACAAATATTTACGTGTATCAATCCAAATATTTTTCAAAAACTATATTTTTTACTTGTATATATTTTTATGAAATTGTCATAATTATTAGTTTGATTATAAAAAAAATTAGTCCGTGTGAAATCCTATATAATGTTCATTTCTAATGTTATAATTAGTATTATCTAATCCTTGTTCATAATCAAATTCTTCATTAAACTCAAAATTTATATTACTTCTATTATTTTTTTTGTTAGCAATTTTATTACGAATCCAACTTCCTAATTGTGTAAACTTCGATGAAATTAAATATTACATAAAATACGCAATAAAATTAATTATTATTGATAGATATATAGGGAAGTTCATGTATAAACAAATATATATATAGATTAAGTAATTTAATGGGTCTCATATTTACTTTATGTAAAAATCCATAAATCATAGATATAGCAACGATTCCCAGAATTAAGCCACATACCTTTTTCAAAGGGATAAAACTATTATATGATGACTGCAAAATCTTAACTGTTTGTTTTCCTTCTATAGAGAAACGAGGAGACTGCCTTTCTTGTTCAGACTTTTCTTTTCCCAATGATGCACGCTTATGTAATTCTCTTTCTTCAATTTCCCCTGATGACTTATTTTTTTCTACTTCTTCAGAACATTTAAATCTAAGTAAAAGGTCATATGGAGAACAAGCTTTATATTTAGTTTTAAATTCATCGCAAAAGCCTGTTTGGTCCGAAGCACATTTATCGTTAAAATAATTATATATGGAAATTTTATTTCTAATATGTGTACAATAATCACTGGGATTTACCAATATTCTAGACATACCCGAAAGGTAAGCATAATCAACAAAGTAATCATATACTTCCTTCCTCTTCCTCCAATCAGAAAGTGAAATCATATCTACTTTAGGGTTACATATTTTATGATGATTATTATTAAAATTATTCATAATAAAATCATTCCATATATAACTTATCTCTAAAAATACATTTATCACGTATGTATGATTCATATAACCCACAATTGCACTTAATCTAGTGGCTAACCAATAATTTAAAAGTTCGCACACATTATAGGTGTCTTGTTTGTCTATATGTTCTGAGTTAGATTTTAAGTATTTTAAAATTTTTGCGCAATATATTTTAAGGGCCTGTCCCCTTTCCATAGATTCTAATGATTTGCAATATTCAAAGAACTCTCTAAAACTATCTAAATTATCTAATTTGTAATAGAATTGTTCTGAAATTAAATATCCCCCAAACGATATAGCTAATTGCTAGATGAAAAACAAAAAGTAAAGGGAAATTAAATGCATTACTCAAAATAATTAATCAAAAAAAATTTGAAAAAAGAGGCAAAATTAATAAATAAAATGAAAAAAATATTATAATTTATTAATATTACACCAAATTTTTCCCACGATTCTTTGTTATTTAACATGATCGGAAATATATAAAATTATGGTTTTTTAAAGACATTAAATATTTCCCAAAAAAAACTATCCATGGATTTATACAAAAGTTCTTTTCTTAACTAGTATATATAAAGATTCTGTATATGTAATAATACATTGGTTATTCTTAATATCACAATAAATAAATAGTATATGGTACTTATATTTTTTATTACATAATCAAATTAAAAAATTTTTGTAAGCATAAAAATGGAAATTAATATAATTTTGATTGTATTAAAATCAATATTTAAGTAGATAATACTATTTTTCGATATGAATATACGTAAAAACTATTTTTACAAACTATAAAAACGGGAAAAATTTAATTAATATTAATTTATATATATTATAGTTAAATTTATAATATATAAAATATGAAAAAATAAGTAAAAATACATATAAAAAATTGAAATCAGGAAAATATGTACTTAACTAATCAATTTTTATATTAAAATTGGAAATGAACATATTTAACATAACGATTAATAAGTGTTTTTTTGATGAATTATCGAGATCAAAAAAAAAATATATATATGTAAAGGAGTTAATTTATATGTTTTAACGAACTAATTAGTGATAAAATTTGACCACATTTATAAAATACATTAATAATACAACTATACATTGTAAAAAAAAAAAAATGGAAATTAAAATATTTATTACATCGTGTTATACATTTAAAGCCTGGAAACATAAAAAAACCTACTTTTCATTTCAAAGTTTTAGCGCTAGCAAATTTCTAAATATCCAATTGTATTATCATAAATATAATTATTGACACATGAATTACTATACATTGTAATATTTTAAATTATTTTTATTTTAATATATCAATTTTGAATATTCATTTACGTATTATTAAATCTCTATTTTACAGTTTTTATGACTTATATATCCAATACAGAAATTATGTATAATAAGCATTTTTTTTACCCTGGAATTTTATTAACAATAAGTTTATAAAATGAACTGTTTTTATTTATATGAATTATATACGCCTCCTACAGTGAATCTATGTGTAAGAACTATTATTATATTAACACATATAAGATTATATTATTAAATGTAACTATATTTTATAATAGTACATATATATATGTTAAATCTAGTATTGTTGCACGAAAAATGATTATTTTACGGGAATTGTTATAATATTATATTAATAAAAACAAGGATATAATATTAAAATTAATATAAATTGTAATTTATATTATTTTTATGTATATTTTATAATTTATTATTTCTATTGCATACATTCAATATAAGAATAATTGAATAACCCCCATTTCATATATCTATGTATATAATTATATATTTGATTTTTTTAATTTTGGCGCAATAAAGAATAAAATTTCTCCTACCTTTAGTGCTTATTTTTCTATTATAAAATATTTATTAATATATTATAATAAATGATTTTCATACAAACATACGTATTTATTGGGGAAACAATATGATTTTCTTTTTAATAAAAACTTAAACCAGATTTATGAAAATTTCGGCGCGAACTTTAATAAGTATTAGTAGAAGCGTTAATAGAAATATATAAAAAAATATAAATATTTTAAGACGTCAAGAGCTAATATGAAAATTTATAAAGAAAATGCAGAAATACTGCTATATATATAATAATATTTTAAGCATGAACACAAGCAATTAAATTATTTTTATTTCTAATCGCTAACAATAAATATTTAGAGAAAATAAAAGAAATTAGGTTTACATATTTCATAATATATATACAATGTATATTTTTAGAATAAATTGTGTAATGTGAAGTATATTTTTCACTATTATACAATTAACCAATTTTTATTTTATCTTTGAAATTTAATTATTATAAACATTTGAGCATAAAATTTTTATATTCATTAAAACATATATTATAAAAATGAATTATTTTTTCGAATGCATGAATTATATTTTATCTATTCTAAAGTGTGGTATAAGAATAATTTAAATTTTCTTATGTTTAATATATAATTGCATTTTTAAATATTTATTAGTCTATAAAATATTAATTTTTATATCATGTATAAAATATGAATCATTTTATATATTATGCTTCATATAAAAATATTATTATCTCTTCTTTTTCTACCCATTTACGCTCTAATCATGAATTTCTATTTATTTTTTTTTTTATACGTGTTGAGTATCATTATTTATACGCAACCCATACATATAGATAATTATAAAATTACCAAATGTTTATATTTAGATATATTTTTTTTAATATATCTGAATCAACATTTATTTCTTTCTCCTTTTGCCAAACAATTATACATAGATTTTTTATAATGTAACTAATTATAAATCTGTTTAAATTATGCTCATGTTTCATGAATTTAATAAATGAACGATAACATTTTTGATGATAACACAGATATATTCCCCTTTTGGAATAATTCATATTAGTTTATTCTAAAATTTGAATTGGTTTCTATGATCTAACCTTTATATAAACTAAATAAATATCAATTTTTTACCTTTATTTTATTTGTTTAAATTGGATTTATCCCAAGAAAATATAGTACACGGTGAAAATATAAAAGGCGTGTAATTCTTTTATAATTAATTTCTTTTAATAACTATAGGTTATTAATAGTATCATAGAATGTTTTTTTATATAATTGCAGTTTTATATATACCATGATTAACAGAGAAGATACAAAAGAAATTTTCATTCGAGAAATGGAATGCAAGACAACAGAGAATTTTAATAAAACTGTATTCGAAATTTTGAAAAGGATAATCTCTTTAAAATCTATAAAATCTACATAATACATCTTAATTTAACCTCAATATACACATGATAAGTAGTATTTATATATCCTAATAATTTTTTTCTAATAAAAAATGTAGGTAATACATCATTTTTAATTGATCAAACTTACATTTTGTCATCAATAAGGGGTATTGTTGATATTTCTTTGCACATATATCGATTATACCATTATTTATTCATCATGATTCATTTTTTAACTAAAATTGATGAATATATTAAAAAAAATATATATTATATTTTTTTGATTACACACAAGAACTCTAAGTTATATAATGCGTTTTATGGTTAGGACTTATTTTTCTGTATTTAGCGTACAGGTTTTAGGACTAGTCGTAGGTTTTTGTATATTATTTTGCGCAGTTTTCTTTATTAAAAATTTAATATATGAGTCTCGTGGTTAATGCCTATATTTTTGTTCAGCTCTTAGAATTCGTATCAGGCTTACGAGTTCATTGTTGAATGTATAATATTTTGTATATTTATTTGTTTTACACTTATTTTTATATGTATGGTTATGATATATTTATTAAAAATGCATATTTACCGATATTTTGTTTACAAATTCAAATATATTTTTATGCAAAGTACATTTAATGCGAAATATAGGGATTGTAAAATAAAATAAAACTTATATTATGTAACATAAAATGTTTACATAATTATTATTATTTCAATTTATATTAATTATATGTATTTTTCTTAACGTAGTAATTTATAATTCATATAGAATATAGCCTATTGTACTACCACATAATCTACTATATTAAAAATATTTATTATAATATAACAGTAAATTTATGTAGATTATTTCATAATTTTATATATTATTAAAACTTTCTTTTTTGCCAATTAATATTTCATATTCTATTATCTACATGATATTATAATTTTTTTTATATTTTTTTATAAAAACTACAGTTCTTTTCATATTATATTAATTATAAAAATGAATTGGTTATTCCTCATTATAAATAATAACAGTATTAAAAAGAATAACAGTGTACTATAATAAAATAATAGTATATATATTTTTTTTACTGTTGATATTTTTCATGAATAAATGTTTTATTATAAAATCAAATAAACAATAATAAATTGTACTTTATTTATAAATATATTTATTTTAATTTATAAATAACATTTGAATATGCTGGAATATTTGTTTAACAATATTATATTATTTAACCTGAAACATATTTTATTTATACATCATCATATTCTAATACGGCATGAAATAGAGGTTAAATTTTACAACCCTAGAGCATTTCTATTTTAATGTTTCCTATATAAATAAATGTATAACCAGAGATAATGTAGAAAATACTAGAATTATTTTACAAAAAAATTGAAATCAATAATATAGATTGTATATTTTTATATTTTATTAAAAATAAATTATATAATTTATTATTTTTTTATATATTTATTCCTATATTGCTATTTCCATGATATTTATAATATCAGTAAAATGTTCCATTACGCATGTAAGTGTTTTCAAATATAAATAAATATTCATCCGGGAAAAAAAATATATATAATGAATTAAAAAACATATGTTAATCCCATTATATATGGACAAATTTTGTAAATTTTAATTTTTTTAAAAATTCATCTATAGAATATTTTTTTTTATGATTCATTAATAAATATAATTTTTATACTTTAATAAATTTAGTGAAATATAATATTTATAGTTGCGTATAAGGTATACAACATTTGTTATCTAATGTATTCATAAGATTTAATATTGTAATATATTTTTAAAAAAATAATATACTAGGATTACAATGGATGATTTATTTGTGTAATTCTATTATGAATTCTTTTTTTTTTTTTTTACTAAATTTCTGTACATTTATATTTATAATTATAGAACAAATTAGTAATTTACAATTTTTCCTCAATCTCGTTCATAAAAAAAAAAAAAAATAAAAGAATAATAATAGTTTTCTTTTAAATGATGTTATAGATAATATTTGTTTGTATCTTATATGTGATTTTTCATATTTGCGTAAGCATTATTCATGTAATTAAATTCAAATTTCATAGGAACATCACATATTTTTATAAAATTAGAGTTATATGATAAAACATACATATAATCATGACATATTAAAATAATACTGAATCACCACTGTTATTAAAAATATAAAAGCTGTCATTTATTTGTAAATTATATATATATTTTTTTTGGTTTTTTCTTTACCCTGTTCTATGTATATTATGGAATAATACTATAAATCATGAATCTATAACTTGGTATATATAATTTATTAAATAATAAAAAAAAATATATAGAATAAATATATAATCTTATAATAACACTCTCATATTGTTTTAAGATTTATGTAATAATGTGTATTATTATAAATTGTTATATCACAGAGCAAATATTAATAAATGCATAAATATTTAGTTTATAAGTACAGCATCAATATTACATTTGCAATTTATTATTATGCATAAATATTATATTCTTTGAAATATACTTTTATATGTTTACATCTTACAACTATTAAATGTGATAAAGTAATATAAAATGAAGACTTGTTTTTAAATATAATGTAGTTCATAAATTATTATAAACATTATATAATTAATGATTTCCAGTCTTCAATTAATTAAAATATATTTACATATAAGATTATGTATATAATGCTTAAGTAGCTTAAACATTTTTATATAATACAAAATTAACATATATATAAAGTGAAAACGATATTCTTGAAAATGAAAAACAATAATAATTTTACAAAAAAATATATATATTTTTAAACAAATATTTATTATATGTTGTTAGAAAAATAGGTCTAATTTAATAATATGTTTACTATTATTACCAATGATTGTAATATATGAATATATTATATATCGTAGAAACTTTATATCAATATATAATCTATCAAAGAAGACTATGTAATTATGTTCTAAAATGCCTCACGAAATATATTATTATTTAATATATGTATATATATATACCCCTAATTTTCTAAAGTAGTATATATCAACGTATAGTATAATAAAATTTTTATTTTCTGTATATATATTTATGTATGAAGGCAAAAAAGTATAAATACTTAAAAAAAAAAATATATGAATTCCTTTTTTGATTATATTTAAAACGTTAGTTAAATAATAATATATTCTTATTGTCCCAAAATATTTGATTAATACCAATGTTCTATTAAGAATATGTAGAAATTTCAATTATACATTATTAATATACATTCATTTATTCATTAATCCTATAATTATAAAAATAGAAACGTTTTTTTATGGAGTAAATGATTTTGTATTAATGTAAAAATATTTATATTTTTTTATGTTTATATATATCATGAACTTTTATTAAAATAATTTATTTGCATATTATATAATTTCATGTGTTATGAATAATACGCATTTATATTAGGAAAGACTTCATTACATATATAATTAGATTAAAAATAAGAACTGGAAAAAACTAATCATTAAATATATTTATCTCATAAATTTTTTATATGTACTGTATTATATTATAAAATATATTTTTCTTTGCCTTTATTATATGAATTATATGTATTAGAATATTTACTTTAAATATAAAATAGCATAATACATACTAATATTTCAATTACAAAAAATAGAAAATTTTCTTTTTCATTGAATATTAAGCATCATAAATAAATTTTATATATATGATTTCATATATTATCTAATCATTTTATAACAAATTTATGCAGAAATATTATGTATAATTGAATGTATCATATTCAATATAGCCAAATATATATGAAATATTATAATAATACATAAATTATTTTGTCATTATACATGTTCATAAATAGAAAACATTACAAAAAATAAGATAAAAAAACGTTTATTTTGTATAATAAATATAATAAGCTAATTATATTAGAATAAAGGGAATAATAATTAATTATTTTTATTTACTGGTATGATTATAAAAATTTGTGTTCATAATATATCTTATTAAAATTATGTATAGTTTTTAAATACATAAATGAAAAGCTATTAATTCAAAATACCTTATCATATCAATAAGTATAAATGAAGTTATTGATTTTTGACATCTTGAATTATTATTATTATTATTTTTATATATAGCAATACATTGTGAATATATTATTATTATATAAATAAATTTATATAATATAATCTCTCATAGGACGTGGAATTGTGATTATATTAAATCAAATCGCATTAATTATTCCTTGATATGAAAATGAAATATATTTGACATTTATAAAAATTATTTATCTTCCAAAATTTTTAAGAGTACTTAATTTTAATACATTTATATATAAAATCAAAAATGAATAAAAACACAATAACTATAATTAATTAAATATATTTCAGGTGACTTTCAACGCTAAATAAATAAGAATAATGAAATATAAATGTTCTATAACATGTTTATGTATTATTAAAAAAATCTATATTTATATACATAATGTCCAAACATCATATAAACAATACATAATTAAATTAGAAATACATTACGTATCGTTACGTGTCCAAACATTTTCTCTTAATAATATATATAAATTCAATAAATGGAAAATAATTCTTCTACATACAAATATATTAATATAAACGGATAACCAAATAATGTATAATAAGATTATTATATAGAGAAATAAAATAAAATAAATAAATATAGAAAATAAATATTCCCATATTCTGTACGTATAAATAATGATATAACTCTAGGATAATATATAAATAATAATTCATTCATTACTCTATGGTTATATGACTGGTTATTTATAAACATTACATCAAAAAACACTAAAAATCACGAATAGCCAATGAATAATTACTACAGAAATATATAAAAGAAATATTCTACTAAAAAAAAAAATTTGAAAATATATGTGAAAATTATACTACATAAAATATTATAATTATTATTCCATTTAAATAATAAACTTATCACAATATATGACGCATTTAAACAATCATAACTATGTATGGTATTTATAAAAGCTCACTACAAGAAAATTTATATAAATTTTCATTATTCATATATTATAGAATATATATATTTTTATGTAATTTTTACACATTTCTAAGTGATATAGTCATTTATTATATATATTAAATTTTTTAATTATTATTTAACTTATTTTTTTACACAAATAGATATATATAGCAGCTATATAACATAATGTACAATCGATTTCAAATATTAGATTAGATGCATTAGTCATTTTTATTTTTTATTATAGTCATTTACATATTCTTTTAATTTCAAATATGATAAAATAATATATGTTTATATTGTTCAAAATTGTAGTTCTCATAAGAATAATATACTATTTTAAACAAAATACATATTTCGAGATAATGGATGATCACTTATCATAATATGTTTAATATATTAATTTATACACTAATGCTATATTTTAGCTAACTTTATATTATAATTATTGTTTTCTGTAAATATAAAATAATTCGAGCAAATACATGATATAATTCCTATTATTTATTTACTATATATAAACATATATTTTTTTAATATGAATAAATTTTCAAATAAAAAAAAATATTTTATATAGAAACATTAAGACATAAAAAAGAAGTAATTTTATTTATCTGAAAATTTATACTCATAATATATATACTAAAATTTTTTTTATAAATTTTAATAAAATGCAAGCAACATATATTAAGAACTTCATATCATTGTCTATATTATTCTTTTTCAATGAATCTAACATTTATCCTAATATACATGGCTCAATGTATAATCAATATTTATGAAAACTATTTATTTTTATATTTATATCATTAATAAATCTATGTAAATGTTTATATTAGTAATAATTTAATGTTTCTAGATTTACTATAAATTAGTTTAAACTACATATATTTTATTCATCATTTTCTTTTCTCACTTAACATCCCATTATGTATAATTTGTTTTCAAAGGTTTATGTTATAAAAATATACACTAATTGAAATACAACTCCTAATAAATTACATGACTTAATTTTTAAATTTATTAATAGATATTCATATGTTAAAGAAAATAATTAAATTTATTTGCTGTTTGATATTCATAAATAAAATAATTTTAATATTAAACTATTTCTTTTTTATGCATATAATGTCAGATATTTTGAACAGTGCAACGGTAAATTATATGTAGCTCTTTTATTTTAAATAATGCCTTATTATATGCATTAATATATTTAGTCGATTATTAATAATGTGACTAACATAATGCACATATTAATATATATATTTTTTATAATTCATATATTTTTTATTAGTATTACAAATATCATGATTATGAATTTTACAGTAAATTATTAAAGAGCATTAATATAGATACAGTTGAATCAAATGATATTGAAATCTTCATAAAATCCCAAGAAAAGATAGAAAATCTACAAAGTAATATTCTTTATAATTGTAAACTTGTAAAAGGATATTTTGAGAAAATTAATGAGATTTCTTCAAGTAATGGTAAAAAAGGTTGCAAGTATATTAATTACATGATAAAAAGACAGGATGGTGGAATGTATACTGCTAATAATAAAAATATGTTTATGTATTTACAAGATTTCGTTAATAATTATATTTCTGATCCAAATAAATATAGGTATACATGTAAAATAGAAGATATTGAAAGAAATGAATTTAAAAAAATAGATGATCTATATACTATATATTATTTATATTCGAGTATAGCTGAATCTGCTGATTCTAAAACTCAGGATTCCAAAATATGTGATGATTATAAAAGATTAATTAATGCATATAATGATCTTTTAAAATCCATTATATTAAATGCGGATAAATACTTACATAATGAATTAAATTATATGAGATGTCTAATTGAAAATAACGGATGGAAATTAAGTAGCCAATGCAAAACACTATTACCTGTGCTATTAGAAAATATCATTTCTCCCGATTATTATGAAAAATGCAATAAACTAAAACGATCTGAATACAAAGAAAACCCATTTATTATCTATGAAGGAGCTTATTCTGGTAAAATTTTTAGTTATAATAGCAATAAATACCTTATTATAACAACAGTACTAGTTACTTTAACTGTAGTAGCATTTTTTTGGTATTTCTATAAGGTTAAAAAAGACGCAACTTAAAAATAAACATGCATCATGCATATTTTTATATTATATTAAACAAAAAATTATATCATAAATTAAAATTTTTTAAGAATTCATTAAATTAACGCTTTTCTGATAGTTTCGAGAATTTTGGAATAAATTACACCTTCGTGTACAAAGAAAGATAAGAAAGACCATGAATGAGAACGACCAACAATGCCAATATATAATCTACTAATATAAAAAAGAAGCTGCAAGACGTTATGGAAAAAATAATATGACATATATATCATGCTCTTCAGCCTGTACAAATTTATATAAAAATTATAATATTTCTTATATAAAATAGCAGAATAAGTATATATACTTATTTAAATTTTTTAACAATTTTTTTTTAAATATTTAAAAATATATATTTATAAATAAGGAGATTATGCATTTAAGGTTATTTTATTTTATAATAAAAATTATATGCATAAAAAATATATCAACATTAAAGAAATATAAACGATTATTTTTTTATAGTACACTACACTTTATTTTAATTATATTATTCTAAAAAAGTAAAAATAGACTGATACTTTATATAATTAACCTTATAAACAAATCACTATGGAAATAATAAAAATGTATTTAAATATATTTCAAATAACATGTACATTATTATATATAAATTATTAAGCAGAAATAAAAATATATCTAAAAATAATATAAAATTTATATAATATTAACTTTGTAAAATAATATCGAAATATTTTTATATATAAATTATATCCTTGTACTCCTGACTATAGCTAATATATCTTAGACAAATATATATGTAAAATACATGAATTTAATATAGCAGTAAATATAAACAGAAAAAGATATATTGTTTACAATATAAATCAATTGCAATTATAATAATACTCTTTATTTTTCAATCAAAATATATGTGACAGAAAAAATGTTATAATTTTGTAAAAATACAATATTTATTATCTATATTATCTTGATGAACTAATAGCTAAAAATATAATAATATATTCTACTTTCATTTTAAGACAAATAATATATATTATAGTATAAATTCTAAACATAAACCATAAATATTTTCTTATAATAATTCGTTAACGTACGTAAGTAAAATATGTTTCAAACATATAGCATTATTTAAAAATATTTAAATTGAATCCACTTTATTTTATTTTTTTTTGGTTAATAATTTTTTAAAAGTTTCATATTGATCTATAT